GTATATATATATATATATATGTATATATATATATATATATATATATATATATATATATATATATATATATATATATATATATATATATATATATATATATATATATATATATATATATATATATATATATATACTCCTAAAACACAGATTTCCGTAAAACTCATCAATGGCAGAGAAGTGTTTTCTCTCGTTAACTGCAAGAAAAGAGTTTATTGATTTGATGCACATCATAATACCAGTCATACATGTAAAGCACAAATAATGTCCTTCAATTCGGCCACGTCCAGGGGCCGTCATCCTTGAATAGGGCTGGGCGATATAGCAAAAATGCAATCTCAATAATTTTTTTCCATATTGAACAATAATGATATATATATTTCGATATATAAGTTGTTAATGCTTCCAGATTTAAAAGAGAACCCCAGCAATGACTGAAGTAGGGCTGCATGATATTGGAAAGATTTGACATTGCGACTTTTTTTTCTTTCTGCAATATACAGTTGAAGTCAGAATTATTAGCCCCCCATTGAATTTTTTTTTAAATATTTCCCAAAGTATGTTTAACAGAGCAAGGAAATTTTCACAGTATGTCTGATAATATTTTTTCTTCTGGAGAAAGTCTTATTTATTTTATTTTGGTTAGTATAAAACAGTTTTTCACTTTTTAGAAGCCATTTTAAGGACAAAATTATTAGCCCGTTTAAGCTATTTTTAATTTTTCTCGACTGTCTACAGAACAAACCATCTTTATACAATAACTTGCCTAATTACCCTAACCTGCCTAGGTAACCTAATTAACCTAGTTAAGCCTTTAAATGCTACTTTAAGCTGTATAGAAGTGTCTTGAAAAATATCTGGTAAAATATTATTTACTGTCATCATGGCAAAGATAAAATAAATCAGTTATTAGAAATGAGTTATTAAAACTATTATGTTTAGAAATGTGTAGAAAAAATCTGCTCTATGTTAAACAGAAATTGGGGAAAAAATAAACTGGGGGGCTAATAATTCAGGGGGGCTAATAATTCTGACTTTAACTGTATATTGCGATATATATAATACATTGTGATATAATTTCACCAGATGACTTAAATAACTCTTTTTGCAAAGACTTTAGATTTATTGGGATGATTTTGTATGGAAGTAAAATATAAACATATTTTTATGTAATTTATTATTTACATATAATAAACGTTAAACGGTCAAAAATTAACACAACGAAGCAAATTTTAAAGTGAAATAAACAGCGATTTAGGGTTTCTGTGGAGAGTCTAACAGTATTTTTTTAACATAAATTTTATAAACGATTCAAAATTACATTGTTTATCAGCCCAGCCCTATCCTTGACCAAGTCTCACTCATCGTAAGCTGCTTGCTTTTCTGTCTGTTCCATTGCTCCGTTTGTTAGATGTTTGCTCCCACTTTCAATTGCAGTCTGTAGCTCGTCAAACACACAAAACGCCCAATTCGTGCCACAAGATGTCTAACTACATCTTTGCATTGATTTCACATGTAAATCTCTTGCCTTCATCTGCTACTGCTTACTACACAGGCTGCAAAATAATCCAATGTAATGTTATGATTGAGATGGCGAAGGCCACAGCCATATCACCCTGCAGCCCAAGACCGGTTACTCACTGAAGCTAAGCAGGGCTGAGCCTGGTCAGTACCTGGATGGGAGACCACTAGGGAACACTAGGTTGCTGTTGGAAGTGGTGTTAGTGAGGCCAGCAGGGGGCGCTCAACCTGTGGTCTGTGTGAGTCCTAATGCCCCAGTAAAAGTGAAGGGGACACTATACTGTCAGTGGGCGCCGTCTTTCGGATGAGACGTTAAACCGAGGTCCTGACTCTCTGTGGTCATTAAAAATCCCATGGCACTTCTCGTGAAAGAGCAGGGGTGTAACCCCGGTGTCCTGGCCAAAGTCCCTCTATCGGCCCTTACGATCATGGCCTCCCAATCATCCCCTTCCACCGAATTGGCTCGATCACTGCATGTCTCTTCACTCCATTAATAGCTGGTGTGTGGTGAGCGCACTGGTGCCGTTGTCCTTTGGCTGCCGTCGCATCATCCAAGTGGATGCTGCACACTGGTGGTGGTGTGGAGAGACCCCCCTCATGATTGTAAAGCGCTTTGGGTGTATGGCCATACACAATAAATGCGCTATATAAATACACATTACATTACATTACATCTTTCGAGAGACACTCACATACTCTGTGTATGCAACGTCTTAAGTCATGTAAAACAATTAATTGCAACTGAAACAATTATAATTTGATCATATCTTTTGGAACTGGATGTTTTATAAGATTATATACATTTATTTATTTTTTTATTTTTTGATAAATTTACGTTAAAATTAAGAATTTTCCAGGATCGAAAAAAATGTTTGACCTTTTGTAGGTTTCGGTTGTGTTCAGTGATCGCAAAATCACCCTAACCCTCACAGTTTACATGTCATATAGTATTTTTAATCATTAGTTGTTGGTTTTTTTTTTCACTAGAGACTTCTGGGTTGTCAATACAATGTCAGAAATGTCATGTTTTGCTATGCTTGTGTCGACATTTGTTAAACACACACACTCACACATTGAGCTGCGTGTCTTCTTGTGGGCCTGTATGAATGACCTCCTATGGGACGGATGCGTTGAAGATGTGACTTTTTCTCACTCTTTTCATTTCCATCGCCTCCTTTTCTCTCTTTCTAATGAGATCGTTGACCTCATTATGAAGAAATTAGAACTGAATATAGATCGCGGCCATGTGAAAATGGGTGATGAATTGTTCGAGCAGTCTAATGTGGCTTCGTGCGTTTTATCAAGAATGTGACTGAAACACACTCTTCATGTTCAAAGAGCTTCCGTTTTTGAGAAAGTTTGATGCGTGTACGTCAAGAGACATGCTTGTGCGTTGGGGTTATGCAAATCTTTGGAGAGCGCATGAGATGTAAACACTTCAATCAGCCGCAAAATCCATATGCATGAAAGATTATGATAATTACTGGACTGCGTAGTATGAAAAAAGAAAGAAAAGTTGTAAGGTGGTATAACACGTTGCAGGGAATAAAAACGCGCTGTTGTTTTTCATCTTAATTTAATGAAAGCCGACATTTGACTTGCAGATCAGTTGAACTTTGATCTTCCCGACATGGGTTTTGACTTGGGAAATCGAGTCCCACCTTCAGATTTTTGTCATCTTAGACATTTTTTTTTTTTTGTTAATGCGCTCAAATGTTCCTTGATAATATTCAAGTATGTTAATAACCTTAAAAAAAATGGAGAAGTTGACTCTGTCAGAATTTCACAAAATATATTTTTAAAAAGTTTTCTTGACACTCAAAGTATTAGAATAATATAATATTGGAAGAATATAAAGAGATTAAAATGATTTTAATTATTATGGAAGTTTGGCATACTTTAAATCCCTGAAATGTGTATGTCTGCGTATGCATCTATAAAATTTGATTGAAAGTTTAAGGGACATTATTTTTATTATTATTATTATTATTATTATTATTATTATTATTATTATTATATTTTATTAACTATTATTATTATTAATATTATTATTATTATTATTATTATTATCATTATTATTATTATTGTTATAATTTTTTATTAATTATTATTAATTATTTTTGTATTAATATTTTTCAGTTTGTTATTATTATCAATTATTCATTCATTCATTTTCTTTTCAGCTTAGTTCCTTTATTAATCAGGGGTTGCCGCAGCGAAATGAATCGTCCACTTATCCAGCATATGTTTTACGCAGCGAATGACTTTCTAGCTGCAACCTAACACTGGGAAACACCCATTCATTTGTTCATTCATTTTCTTTTTGGCTAAGTCCCTCTAATAATCTGGGATCGCCACAGCGGAATGAACCGCCAACTTATCCAACATATGTTTTACATAGCGGATGCCTTTTAAGCTGCAACCCATCTCTGGGAAATATCCACACACACTTTTTCATACTCCTTCACTTCAGACAATTTAGCTTACCCAATTCATCTAAAGTGTATGTCTTTGGACTGTGGGGGAACCCACGCGAACGTGAGGAAAATGCAAACTCCACACAGATACGCCAACTGTATTATTATTATTATTATTATTATTATTATTATTATTATTATTATTATTATTATTATTATTATTATTATTATTATTACTATTATTATTACTATTATTATTATTATTATTATTATTATTACGATGCATTTAGTAACTGATAAGACTTAAAAATAAAATATAAAATAAATTAACTTTCTATTCATAAAATATATCTAGAAAATAATTATCTAAATAATTGTCAATATTATTTATTAATATAAAATGTATAATATGCAATGTTCATGATGTTAATAATAATAATAATAATAATAATAATAAGAAGAAGAAGAAGAAGAAGAAGAAGAATAGTAATAATAATATATTTATTTATTATTATTATTATTAATATTATTATTATTATTAGATGCATTTATTTATACAAAAGTAACTAATAAGAGGTTGTTAAAAAAGACATAAAATAAAAGATTTCTCCTCAACAAATATTTTTTTAATTTAACATTTTATAATAACATACAATGTGCATGATGTCAATGATAATAATTATTAATTATTAATAATTATAATTATTATTAAAATTATTATTATTAGTAGTAGTAGTAGTAGTAGTATTAATATTATTATTATTATTAGTAGTAGTATTCGTTATTATTTAATATAATAAATTATGTATTGATAATAATTTATTCAAATACTTTTATCTTATTAAGAGATTTATTAGAGCGATTTCTAAAGGAATAAATCATGATGAAAGGATCATGATGAGCTAAATTCAGCTTTTCCATTACAGAAATAAATTACGCATTAACAATAAATATATTCTAATAGAAAATAGTTACTTTAAATTTTAATTATATTTCAGATTATTGCTATTTTTATGCAGTAAATATCCTTGGTAAGCATAATATACTTCATCAAAAAAAAAATTTAAATATCATGCTGGCCCCAAACATATTCAGTAGTGTGGTTCAATGGTCATTTATTTATTATGCATTGCTTGTATCTTAATTTCGTTTAAAAAGAAAAAAAAAAAGAAATCTATGGACTTTTCACAAATTTTAGAAACATAACTTTCTATTTTTAATAAAAGAGAAACAAGTGATATTGCCATGTTAAAGTCAGTCATGAGTGCATCTCAGTTCAGACTTCTTTCAGCTTGATATGAATATCAAATGTGAGTGCCACCATCTGAAGTGTACAGTGACTTTTCCCTCCGGCACAGTAATGAATCATCTTTTCTTTTGCTTCGTTTCCTGCTTCTTTTTCTGTCAGCTTCTTACTCTCCAATATCTCGCTCATTTTTCTCTCATTCTTGAAACGCCATGACAGGAGGAGCATTTCTCTCCCAGAAATCACCAGCCGTGATGGTCTTCCCATTAGTTTAATGAATAATGCTCATTATTAAACCATCAAAATAATGTCTGTCATCATGTTCGACATGCACATATGCTGATACCCCTGTTTTTTTTTTTCTTCTTTTTTTATTGTTTTAGGGTGTTCATTATGTGGAGGCCTATATTCCAGACGCCATCTGGTATGACTTTGAAAACGTAAGAACTTCTCGCACCACAAAAACAATAATAACTAGAGATGGTTAAGCATGTTTAAAATACTTGATACTTAAAGATTTACTCATTGTTTACTCTGCCTCAAACCTTTATGAGTTTTTTATTATGTCGAACTCGAAATAACAAACTTTGAAGAATGCTGAGACCCGGTAACCATTGACTAGGAAAGGCAATACTATAGAAGTCAATGGTAACAATGGTTTTCAGCTTTCTTTAAACTATCTTCTTTTGTGTGCAACAGAAGAAAGAAAGGGAAACAGGTTGTTGGGTAGAAAAGTTATATATTACAACATTAATCTTATCTAACGCTTTAAAAAAGAAAGAAAAAATAGCATAACACATTTAGCTATTTTTTGCTTTTTAAAGTGATTTTTAGATTGTATTATGTTACTTTTTTTCCAACATTCGGAATAAGTAAATGGTGATGGAATTTTGGGTGAACTATCCCTTTTAAATACTTCAATATTTAGAATATTAAATATGTGTCACTTAAATATGTAAATACTTTGAGAGACTGCATTTTGACTGCATTTTAAAAAGCTAAAAATGCTTCATCAGATATCTCATTTTATAATCAAACAAATAAATAAATTTGTTCAGCAGGCTTAATAGTATAGTCCAGGGATTTCAAAACTCGGTCCTGGAGAGTTTAGCTTCAGCTCTAATCAAACACACCTGAACCAGCTAATCAAGCCCTAACTAGATATACAAGACCAGGAGTGTCCAAACTCGGTCCTGGAGGGAGAGATAAATAAAAGAAAAGCAGTGACAGTTTATTTCAAAACCCGTCTCATAATCAATTATTTTAGTTACAAAAATGTGATTCTTATGATAATATAGTATAGTAAAGTATATCATAGTATAGTGTAGTATAGTATAGTATAGTATAGTATAGTATAGTATAGTATAGTATAGTGTGGCATAGCATAGCATAGTAAAGTATAGTATGGTATAGTATAGTATAGTATAGTATAGTATAGTATAGTATAGTATAGTATAGTATAGTATAGTATAGTATAGTATAGTATAGTATGGTATAGTATAGTATGGTATGGCATGGCATGGCATGGCATGGTATGGTATGGTATAATATATAGTATAGCATAGCATAGTATAGTATAGTATAGTATAGTATAGTATAGTATAGTATAGTATGGTATAGTATAGTATAGTATAGTATAGTATGCCATAGCATAGTACAGTATAGAATAGTGCAGTATAGTGTAGCATAGTATAGCATTGCACAGCATAGTATAGTATAGTATAGAATAGAATAGAATAGTGTAGTATAGTATAGAAAAGTGTAGAATAGTGTAGCATGGCATAGCGTAGCATAGTATAGTGTAGCATAGAGTAGTATAGTATAGTATAGTATAGTATAGTATAGTATAGTATAGTATAGTATAGTATAGTATAGTATAGTATAGTATAGTATAGTATAGTATAGTATGGTATGGTTTAGCATAGGATAATATTGTATAATAAAGTATAGTATAGCATAGCATGGCATAGTATTGTATAGTATAGTAATGTATAGTGTATTGTATATTATGGTATAGTATAGTATTGTATCATATAATATCCTGTAGTATAGTATAGTGTAGTATAGTATCGTATAATATCCTGTAGTATAGTATAGTATAGTATAGTATAGTATAGTATAGTATAGTATAGTATAGTATAGTATAGTAATATGTAGTATTGTATAGTTTTATATTGTCTAGTATCATATAGTATAGTATTGTATCATATAGTATTGTATAGTCTAAATATAGTAATCATTGTGACATGACAAAAAAGGACCAGTATTTTGGATCTGTGCATCAGTCTAAAAGTGACATCCTAATGCTTAATGTACCTAGTGCTATATTATTACCTTTAATTTAAATAGATAAAATACACATAAAAAGAAAAGGCCTGCACTGCACTTTTTTTTTAAAATATTGCAAAATCTGTATTTTTTTCGAATTCCAAATGCCTTTTTGTTTGCATGTATTTGAATTTACACGTTTCACACTCTAGTTGTATTTTAAATAAACATGTTTGATAAATAAATGTGTACTGGCTGACAATCCAAATTACATTTTTTTTTCGTTCATTCATTTTCCTTTAGCTTAGTTCCTTATTTATCAGGGGTTACCACAGCAGAATGATCCGCCAACTATTCCAGCATATGTTTTACGTAGCGGATGCCCCTCCAGCTGCAACTCAGTACAGAGAAACACCCATACACTCATGCTCATACAGTCATGCACTACGGGCAATTAAATTTTTGTTCATTTAATTCACCTATAGCTCATGTATTTGGACTGTGGGGGAAACTGGAGCACCCCGAGGAAACCCACTCTAACATGGGGAGAACATGCAAACTCCACACAGAAACACCTACTGCCCCAGCCTGGACTCGAACTAGCGACCTTCTTACTGTGAGGCGACAGTGCTAACCACTAAGCCACCGTGCCACCTGCAAGTAACTTATACTTTAAAGAAAAAGATTTCTCAGACCTCAGTACATTCCTTAATACTTTAATTAAACACATGCGATCAGCAAGTATTTGTACATCATTTGTAGCAGAATACTTGTTTTTCTCTCTGATAATAAATATCCCTTCAACATCAGTGTCTGAGATGTCCGTCTGGTTCCGCTCAGGCAGAGCTTTTCATTTGAAGCCTCTCTGGAGTCTGGTTAGTCTCTAAAAGAGTCAGATTAACCAGCGGGCGATCAGATCCCTGATAGCATGGGTCTCCTGCGGCCCCGTGTTGTGCGTCTCAGAACAGCTCGATTACTGAAGCCGTGATTGGCAAAAGCAGGTCTTGAGTGACCCTGGCAGACTGAGAGAGAGTTTGATGGAGAGGAGCGACACACAAGACCTGATTGGATCTGAAATGACTTATGGATGGAGCAGAGACTCAGTGTCTGTCTGAGCATCTCGGCATTGACCCAGTGAACAGTCAGAGAGAGGGCCGAAGGGTCCCGTGCTGGAGATAGGGATGTGTGAGGCGAATTAACAATGAAAAACATGCTGGGAAAGTCAGTTTATGTTGAGTTATCACCAATCTCTCATTGAGGGCAGAATTATTAGCCCTCCTGTTAAATTTAGATAGTTTTATATTTTTTCTAAACACGTTTCTAAACATAGTAGCTGCAATAACTCATTTACATTAACTTTATTTATTTTAACTTTGCCATAATGACAGTACATAATATTTCACTAGATCTTTTTCAAGACACTATAATCAGCTTAAAGTTTGTTGGCTAAATTAGGGTAATTAGACAAATCTTTGGACAAAGGTGTGATGCCGCAGACAACTTTTTTTTTTTTTTGTGATGCGTAAATCTAAAGTCACTTTAAAAAATGCTGAAGTCGAAAGTCACATTTAAAAAAGATTAAATCTAAAGTCACTTAAAAAAGCTTACATTTTAAATCATTTTAAAAAAGCAGAATCTAGTCACTTTATAAAAAGCTTGCATTTAAAATAATTTTAAAAAAGGTTAAGTATAGTCACTTTTCAAAAAAGTTTACATTTAAAATCACTCAAAAAGCTTAAATCAAGTCACCTTTACAAAAACTTAAATCTAGAGTCACTTAAAAAGTTTACATGTAAAGTCACTTTTAAAAAAGCTTTAATCTAGAGTCACTTTTAAAAAAGTTTACATGTAAAGTCACTTTTAAAAAAGCTTATATCTAGAGTCACTTTTAAAAAAGTTTACATGTAAAGTCACTTTTAAAAAAGCTTGAATCTAGAGTCACTTTTAAAAAAGTTTACATGTAAAGTCACTTTTAAAAAATGCTTAAATCTAAAGTCACTTTTAAAAAGCCTACATTTAAAATTACTTAAAAAAAAGTTTCAATCTAAAGTCACTTTAAAAAACTTTACATTTAAAATCACTTAAAAAAGCTTAAATCTAAAGTTACTTTTAAAAAGCATAAAATTACTTTAAAAAAGCTTAAATCTAAACTCAATTTTAAAAAAAAGTTTAAATCTAAACTCACTTGAAAAAAAATCTTAAATCTAAAGTCACTTTTAAAAAAATTACATTTAAAGTCACTTTTAAAAAGCATAAATCTAAAGCCACTTAAAAAAAAGTTTAAATATAAACTCACTTAAAAAAAGTTTAAATATAAACTCACTTAAAAAAAAAGTTTAAGTATAAACTCACTTTAAAAAAGTTTAAATATAAACTCACTTTTAAAAAAAGTTTCAATATAAACTCACTTAAAAAAAATTTTAAATATAAACTCACTTAAAAAAAAGTTTAAATATAAACTCACTTAAAAAAATTTCAATCTAAAGTCACTTTAAAAAAGCTTAAATCTAAAGTCAATTTTAAAAAGTTTAAATCTAATGTCAATTTAAAAAAGTTTAAATCTAAAGTCACTTTAAAAAAGTTTAAATCTAAAGTCACTTTAAAAAATTTTAAATCTAAAGTCACTTTAAAAAGTTTAAATCTAAAGTCACTTTAAAAGGTTTAAATCTAAAGTCACTTTAAAAAGTTTCAATCTAAAGTCACTTTAAAAAGTTTAAATCTAAAGTCACTTTAAAAAGTTTAAATCTAAAGTCAATTTAAAAAAGCTTAAATCTAAAGTCACTTTAAAAATTTTAAATCTAAAGTCACTTTAAAAAGTTTAAATCTAAAGTCACTTTAAAAGGTTTAAATCTAAAGTCACTTAAAGTAACTAAATGTGTTGGTTACTTTTTAAGGGAAGTAATATGAAAGTATGTGCTATGTTATTTTTGTGTATTTTATTTATTTATTTTTTCCACTTTCTTTAGTAAGAGTATGGTAAGCTTCAAATTATAATATATTGTATTACTTTTCTACCTAACAACCTGTTGGGCTATCTTTCAACACAATAGAGTATATTTTGAAGAAAGCTTTAAACCTGTCACCATTGACTTCAACACTTTTTGTTTTTTTTATTTAGTCAATGGTTACAGTTTTTCAGCTTTCTTCAAAATATCTTCTTTTGTGCTTAACAAAATAAAAATAAAAAAATCTTTATTTTTGTGTGTATGAATAGCTTTTCTGGTGTGATCAGTTTGCTCGGTAGCTTACCTCAGACACACTCTCTCTCTCTCTCTCTCTCTCTCTCTCTCTCTCTCTCTCTCTCTCTCTCTCTCTCTCTCTCTCTCTCTCTCTCTCTCTCTCTCTCTCTCTCTTATAAGCTACTTCTTGCTAATACCAAACCTTTCAACTTTTTAAAATGTTTTTGTTCTTCCTCTAAATCGATTTAACAATCAGTTATTCATTTTTACATATTTTCTTTATAGGAAATAAAGATTACAGAACGGAAAGAGGGAGTTAAAATGTACCTGCCTGATGATAAACTTGGTTTACATCTGAGAGGAGGAGCCATTCTACCTGTACAAAGACCAGACGTCACAACCACATACAGGTAATGCAAAAATAAATAAATATA